CAATGCGGGTGCTAGGTGCGGTGTGCTGTGAAATAATGCAGGCATGCTGCATTTTATTGCAGTGACCCCACTAGGGCACATAGAAAACAATTTGTGCCCCACTCACACCACAATGCGGGTGCTATGTGCAGTGCACTGCAAGGAAAACAAAATATCCGGACATGCTGTTTTTTTCGCAGTGCAGTACAGAACACTGGACCCCACTGGAATGAAGTACACCATGCTGCTGTGGAGGGACTTGAATGAAGTGCACAGTTTGTACATCCCAAGAAAGAAAGAAGTAAACATCCGGTTTACAGAAATAAACATGGTGGCAGGTGGGACTTGTAGTCTTCCATTTGCAGATGCCTGTGAATGGATGACACGGCTGTGTGGGCTGTATACATTGCGCAATCCTACCTACAAACTATGCTTTAAAGAAGGACTCCGGGCATGTAAAAAACTAACCCTTGCAGTGGGGCTACCCCTACACCGCAAGGGTTTAGTGCTCCTTTTGATCTGGGGTCTAAAAAAAAAAAAAAGATACACTCTCCTGATCCACAGTCTTGCGGTCGTGACCACTCAGCTCACTCCATCCCTGCTCTGGCTGTGGAATGTCCCTCAGCTTCCTCACGTTCAATGCAATTTAATTGACATAATGATGCCATAGATCCTTAGGCTGGGCACACACCTTACAACCATTGCAAGACTTCTGTCTTGCGATGGTTGTAAGGTACTTAAAAAAACGTACGATCTGCCTATGTTGCATAGGCAGATCGTACTTGCGATGATCGCAAGCCACGCCCCCTGAGGGGCGGGCTTCCGATGACCGCAATGCTGAACGGGCAGTGTGCGCTTGCGCACACCGGCCCGTGCGGCTGTTATCGTATGGACATGCCACAAACCCGCCGAACATCGTACGATGCTCGGCGGGTTTTCGAACATATCCGTAAGTTTAAAGTCGTGCGACCTTACAGTAGTAGAGGTCGCACGGCTTCCACACACCTTACGAACATCGTACGATCGCGGGATTTCCCGCGATTCTCGTACGATAATCGTAAGGTGTGTGGGGACCCTTAGACCGACGAAGCACGGGGCGTGGGGGGGATAGAGGCTGCCCAATCAGCAGCTGATCACACCCAGTCTTGTTCACTGCTTTCTGGATTAACAGCCCTGGATCTGTTGCTGAGGAGACCTTTCCACTGTGAGCTGCAGTGTCTGGAAGGTGAGCACATGAGATACAAATTAAGGAGGATTTGGCGCAGTCAGGGAAGGTAAAGGAAGTTTTTGTTACTTTATGAGGTTTGTGCATCCCATAGCAACTGGATTGGGTACCTGTTTAGACTGACATACAGGAACTTCATTAAACAGTTGAAGCCTACATAGCATCCAGCAACTGTTGAGACAATGGTTAAATTATGTTATTTACAACTCTGCATATAAAGTGCAAGGGTCAGGACTACACAACATAGTGTGGCCAGGACTATGCAGTATACAACATATCTATAGAGTGCAGTGGCCAGGTGTAGTGTACAACATAGCATGTAAAGTGCAGTGGTCAGGACTAAGTAGCATAGAAAATAGCATATAGAGTGCAGTTGTCAATACTATGCAACATAGCATAAAGATTGCAGTGGTCAGGACAATGTAACTTATAACATGGCGTAGGCCATTGTCACCATAACAGGTGTCTTTATTGGAAGATTTCGTCTCGACTTCTTTTTCCCTCATTTTCAATCCCAACGACAATGGTTACCAGGAAAAATAGAGAGGGCAGATCTCCTGAGGCGGAGACACAGATATCAATACAAACCTTGCAGGTGTTCTGATCCCTCGACCCTCTATCTGGCACCACTAAAAAAGGGGCACAGTGTATGTAACATGAGAGCAGATGGGCCATGAGCAATGTAACCACTGTAGCGATAACTCCCCGCAGGGAGCCGCTGATTGCCTGGTCCTCATCTAGTCAGTCTAGGGGTTGATTTTTCAGCCGCACACATCAGCACTAACCGCCCATAAATTGATGTCCACTTCAGTATTATGATGCTACTCGAACAGTTTATTGAACATACTCTGTGGGAGAGAGGGTCTAGGGTCTAGGTGTACAGGCCTCCCTAGCTCCAGACTCACCGGATCTTATCTTCAAGGGAATACATCTCCACAATCCATGAATGAACACTGACCCCGCTCTGAAGTCCATCTAAATCCAAGGCACTTCAAGGTCACTGGTCCTGGTTCTTCCATCTTTCAGGCATTTTCCTGACAGTAAGCCTCCATGGAAACCTCTCCTTCAGCAGCTCAGCCAATTCCCACCCCCAGGCCTCGGCCTAACCTGGGGGCAGGCTGAACAGGACCCAGCCCTAATCCATGGCTGGTCCAGACGAGAGAGAGCGCACATGGCAGCTCCCACCCATATATGTACACTTTGTCAGCAGACACCACTGGCTGCAAGAAGCCCAGTGACTGGCTGCTGCACTGTACACACATCACAGTGTCTCCCATTGGCTGTCCCCCAAGACGACAGAGTCTCACTCCGCCCAGGGGGGTACAGACAAGGCCAGACACCTGGGAATCATGTACCTGCTTCTACAAATCCAGCCAGGCCGTCTACAGCCCTGGCACATCACTAAATGCATGGTAGTCACATCACAAAAGGTGATGGGCGTTACACCACATATAGTGCACATACTGTGTAATTAGCAGGGATAGGGAAAGACCATAGTGAAAAGCTTGGTAAAAGGTATAGCTATGCTTTAAAATCCTAATTCCATTATACTCATGTAGCGCTCACCCCCAAAGGAGCTGCTGGAATAACCCGGGTGATCACTAGTCTGTCTAGGGCTTTTGATCTTCAGCTGCCCCATTAGCATTTAACTCTTCTAGTGCCCACAAAGCTGATGTCAACGCCAGTAATGCAATGCTGAATAACTTTTATTAAATATCTTCACACTGGGAAGAGAGGGTATAGGGATATTAGACATCCAGGGTGTAACAGACATAGACTCTAGACTCACCAGACCTTTTAAGCCTCTTAGTGTAGATCCACTTGTGGTACAGTGAACCGTAATTGGTAGGGTTGCCACCTGTCCAGGATTCACCCGGACAGTCCGGGTTTTGAATGCTGTGTCCGGGTTTCATGGCAGCAGAAACCCGGACACGACGTCAGGCAGATAGGGGCAACCAAAATCAAGATAGGGGCTACTGGCCCCCCACTGAAAATAGTCTCAACTGTGACATTTACATATGAATGGGCGGCGCTATTTACATATGAACATGTTCATTCTCCCCAAACAATATCCGCGCATTGCTAGAGTGTTCGGGTTTCGTTTAAAGAAAAGGTGGCAACCCTAGTAATTGGAGTAACAGATGAGCAGGAGATGAATACAGATCCTCAGCAGGAGAGACATCAGCCATGCTCCAGAGGTCCTCTATGTTCCAAGCACATCCAGCAGACATCAGCTTCACTGGCTCTCCTCCTCTGGCAAGCAACACAGGCCTCCTCCATACTGGAGGCCTAGGGAAACTCTTCACACACTCCAGCCTTTGCCCACCCCCAGACCTAGCCTGGGGGGTTGGCTGGACAGCATCCAGCCCTAATCAATGGCTGGTCCCGACTAGTCTAAGCACGTGGCAAATCCCTCCAATATATGTACCCTATCCCAGCATGCACCACTAGTTGAGAGGAACCCAGTGATTGGCTACTGTAATACACTCACAGTGCCTCTCATTGGCTGTCCCAGAATATAGCAGAGTCACATTCCACCCAGGGTACAGTCAATGCCAGACACCTGGAATTAACCAGATAAATGCCAGCTATAACTGACTACAGCTATAGCTGACTACAGCCCTGGCAATCACTAAATGTCTAGTAGCCAGCTCACAGAAGGTGATGGGGGCTACACTTAGCTATTATCATGCAGTCTTTAGACTTGACATGTGATATTCTGGGTCCTTCCTCTTCTTTGGTTTTGGCACTGGTGAATGGTCCTTCCTCTGAACAACACCACCCACGTAATATATTGTGGATGCCGAGCTGTTCAGGACTACTGTAAGCCCTGGGTGCATGATGACGTGACCCCCTGGGAGAGTGTCCATGACAACTAGGGCTCACAGGAAGTGGGTTGGACGACACTGGGTGTTATTCAAATCAGGAGTGGTGGCCAGATAGAGAGTGGTGTGGTGGCCAGCGCCAGAAAGCAAAGGGTTATTGTAGCCAAAACTGCTTTATTTATGCCTCATTTGCATGGGCTACTGGAGCCAAAATGTGTCAGCAATCTGTGCATTCCTGTGTCTGGGATCATAGGTGGTTGCAGTCAGCTGTGCTTGCTTAGCCTGTACAAAGCACTAACAGGCTGACAGGAGCCGTGGCTGTCTGCATGTATTCGCACATCCAGCAGTTACCTGGATGGTTGTCCAACCCTGAACGCAGACAGATTACATCCAGGGTTATGCATCTCTCCTTTACCACAGATGGCTGTTGGATGTGAGGATACTTGTAATAAGCGGCGGACAGCAATGGCTCCTATCAATCTGTCACAGCTTTGCACAAGCTGAGTGGCCTTAGCTGTCCGCAACCACCTGTGATCCCAGCCACAGGAATCTGCAGATTCTGCCTCATGTAGGCACTAGAACTGCCCTGTGAATGAAGCTTTATTTCAAAAATAGATGGACCTGTCTTGTAATGTTTGTGCTGAAGCTGGGCTTTCTCCTAACAATAAATGGTTGTGGCATACACCAATGCACCACCTCAGGGAGCAAACATGAAGGGAGCCTATAAATTCTAGGTAGACATGTCCTAAGGGAAGTTATGAAATACCACTTTGTATATTCTGTATGGGGTAGACCAGGAATGTTATTGTCCCACAAAAATGTAATACTTCTAATAAATACTTTATTTTGAGACACCTTGAAAGTAAATACACCTCTAGTGAAGGAACACACCATACAAATTTTACAATTGCACTCTTCCACCTGCAACATGGCGGCGGGTTCCGTACGGAAGTGACGTCAGTCCCCGGACCCGCCTTTCTTCCTGTCAGAGGAGGTGATACAGTGACTGACTGAGGAGATTTTCGTTCTATCTCAGTGTCATTCCGGACATCAAAATGGCGGACAAGCCGGGTGAGGAACGGGCCCTTATTTTTGTCATTGTGTGTGAGATGTTAGGAGGCAATGTTTGTGAAGAGGAGATTGTTCGGGTGTGGCTGGGTTGATGCAATTTGTTGTGTTGAAGGTTATATCTGAACATTCTAGTAATTTGTCCGGTGGAAGGCGGACTTACATATATAAACGTGGTGCAGTATGTTCTGTTATAGTTCATGTGTCTTATTCATTGTCTGTGTTCACCCTGCGCCGTGGTATTGTGTTTTGATGGGGGTCTCCGAGCATTAGAAACATACTGAAACCTATTAAACATCGCCCCCCTCCCCCCCCCCCTCCTAATTAACTCTGATGTAGAATTCAGGCTTTACTTTTATTTTTGTGCCCCAGCTGCGACGTTTTCCATGTTTGCCCTCTCTGCACATGGCTCTGTGAAGGGTAAAGTCTCTCTCATATCTCACTATAGGTAAGGCAGTCTATATACACCAGGGTTCTATAGTGATAAAATGGTGTACAGATTTTGCCCTTCAGTGTAATTCCCCTTGTGTCCTACAAAAGTGCATTGCAATGATCCAAATGATACCGCCATGTCCGCCAGCCTGTGTACACCTTACATGACTGGTGGAGTGCCTGGGGAGGTCAGAGTGTCCTAGGCCTCAGCTGCATACTGAGCCTCACCTCACCTCCTATTATTCAACTGTCAAATGGAAGATGTTCCAGCACTGAAAGTAGAACTCTGGGCAAAATGGTTCTGAACCCTTACGTTGGGGGCTACCCCTGCACTGCAAGAGTTAAGCTCATCTAGGGAGGAAAATAAAGTTTTTCTCTTAAGCCAGTCCCTGAAGTCTCTCCCTCTCCTCTGCAGCGATCTAAGGTCCTGTAAATCATCACTTTCCATACACAATGGGGGGAATTTATCAAAACTGGAGTAAAGAGAATCTGGAGGAGTTGCTTATGGTAACCAATCAGCTTCTATCTTCAGTTTGCTCAGTTAAGATTTGAAAATGAAAGAGAGAAGCTGATTGGTTGCCATGCACAGCTGCTCCAGATTTTCTCTGCTCCAGTTTTGATAGATCCCCCCAGTGTATTAGATGTAAGGATGCTGAGGAACATTCCACTGCTGCAGCAGAGGAGGGCTTCAGGGACCGGAGTAGCTACCAGCCGTCTGCTAGGTTTGGGTGAGCATAACTTCTTTTCTTTTTGTTTGTAGCATCTATACAGGAAAGAGCACTTAACCCTTGCAGTGCAGGGATAGCCCCACTTCAAGGGTTAGGAGTTACGATTTACAGTAGAACTAAAGCCATTTTGTTTTTTTTTTAGATTAGGATAGAGTGGAGAGGGATTAGAACACCCGTCAGGTTTTTATTGCTGTCTGTGTCCCTATTAGGGAGATTCAATCTCTCTATTTGTCCTGGAGACTGATATCACAGAGTGAAAATGAATGAAAATCCCAAATTTTGGGGTGTCACCAGAACAGAAATAGATGGGAAAGTTTTCATTGGGGATTCTGCTGACCAGTAGAGATTTCCGTCTCTTTGGAGATATTTTCTCTTACTTCCTGTTGTAGCTGTTATACAGGACGTAAAGGGAAATTTCCCCACTAGGACACAGCTGGGAAAAACTGACCGGATATAACACTTTCTTACTCAATCCTAAGTGGGTGGGAAACATTTTCTCTTCAGCTGTACTTTACCAGTCGCATGATGTAGCGAGCTTAGTGTGATTAAAGTAAGTAGAAATAAAAATGTGAGAACAGAAGTCACACAATGTCCCTGTTAGGAAGGATTCCTACCTGCTTGTTGGTGGGGATCTACATGCAGCTCCATGTACAATTTCGGCAAATGCGTAGATGTAACATCTTCCTGGCATGACAAGTCAAGATGGCTGAAGATAACAGACCAAGAAAAAGACCGGACAAAGATGATGATGCCAGCGAGGGAGCTCACAGGAGTTGTATCGCTGGAGGGAAAGGTGAGTGTAGTTCAGCTTTAAGCACTTCATTAACATTTCCATCTGACTTTACAATCTCCTGTAAGCTTGCCACAAATGGTACAATCTTATTTACATCAACCAACAACTACGTCATAAAGAGGCTTGCCTTATAGATACTTTGGGCAGGTTCTGCATGGTTTTGGGGAACCTGGAATTGATTTTGCAGATTGTCACGTGTATGGTGAGCTTAAAGGCCCTGTGTTGAGCAGCATTCCCATACAAGTCTATGGTCATGCAAAATCTGCTTGAAGCAGGTCAAATGTAAGTTAAATGGAGGTCACCTGCAGGTCAGATGTCCCTGTCAATGAATTTTGGATGTTCTCAAGTGTCTCAAACTTGTACCTTCAACACAGGCCCAAAACCTGTCTACACAGGTCCTTAGATTGATCTGAAGACCTGTCTAAACTATGCAGTCAGTTTGTATCCAGTCAGATCCTTGAACTGCATAGTTGTCAATAGATCGAAAGGAGATTTTACAGCCAGATTGTAACGCCTGCTGAGAGCTTAAGGGTTAAAGCCTCTTTGATTTTTTTATTTTAGTCTGTGTTTCCATTCACTTCCTGTCAGAACAGGAAGTGGTAGGAAATCTGTCCAAGGGCGGGGGGTCAAGAACAAAACACATTTAACCACTTTATGAGCAGCCATTGTGATTGAAGGTAATTAACTGCTGGTTGGGGCAACCTGTTCTTCTGAGAGAACGTTTATAAACATCCCTGTTTGTACTGTGCATGTGCCAGGTGAGCTCAGAGTGCCTGTGATTTCACTGTCATTCAACAGCAGATTATAGGTTAAATCAAGAGCCAGTCACAACGCTTTGGGAAGGGGAGGGGCAAAGAGTTGCATGCTCTGCTTCCTCCTGCTGGCTGCCATATCACTACTGTATCCTGTCTATAGCTAGACGATTGCTTGAGTGCTTCAGGAAAGTATAACCCCAGCGTACCTCCTGTGACACCTCGGTATAAGCCTGGTGTAGAACGCTTAGGTGTCCTCTTTCTGCTGAATTTGAAATGTAGACAGTATTAGGGCTGCAGCTAACCATTATTTTCAGAATTGATTAGTTAGTTGATTATTTTTTCCACAAAAAAAACAAAACATCCTTAATTTAATTTAAAATAAAATACATGCGGCGATACCTGACATGTATAGCGCAATGGTCAATTTTCTATGTACGTGCACCTGACTTGTGTTTCCGTTAGTATATGCGTGTTTGCTGGGTTGGGGGACTTTCAATTTTGGGGAGGGATTTTTAATTTGTTTTTTTTTTTACCTCATTGCTATCTCATGGGGGGGCTCATAAGCCCCCTATGTGATGGCACATTGGGGGTGACAGGTTCTCTTTAAGGTGACATTAGAGGTCTTTAAGACCCCTAGTGTCACCTTTTCACCTCCACTGGTTTCAGCTGCTGAGGCACTTGAATGTCAACACAGCAGGAAGTGGCTTGGAGCAATAGCCAGTTTATCTTAAATTGCAGTAGCCAATAGTAGGCTGGCTATTGCACCCACCCACTTTAAAAAGCCAAAACAGGAACATTGCTGTGAATATTTATTTTTTTCACCAAAAAGTAACAGCTGCTGCAGAAGTCTTGTGACATGTTACAAATAGTTTACTCTGTTAATAAAACTGTTATTAAACTTTTTTTTTCCCAGTACCTTTGGCACAACAGAGACTTCTGGATGTGAAGGTTGGTCAGCTGCCCAACTGGATTGCCACTTGTAATTTCACTCCAAATGGGGTGTTGGGCGGTGTGAGAAGGGGTTAGTATATCGAATGTTTTTTCCTCTTGATTGTAATTGGATAACTTGGTTAGAATTTGTAACAACGCTGCAGTTCTCTCCTATCCCTGAACACAATTTATCACAACTGTAGGCGACAAAATCTGGAGCAGATGTGCATGGCAACCAATCAGCTTCTCTGTCTCATTTTCAAAACTGAACACACTAAAGAGAGAAGCTGACTGGTTGCCATGGGCAACTTCTCCAGATTTTGTCTGTCCCGTTTTTTATAAATTCCCCCAACTGTGTGCACAGCTTCCACTGCATACTCTTCTAGTCAGAGACCTGTCTGTGTTCTGTTACTTGTCTGTAAAACAGCAAAAAGTTTCCAGGCACACTCACCAGCCAGCATACACAAAAACCTGTCTAACCACTAAGGTCAAAAGCAGAGGTTTAGATACACGTCTTCTGCAGAAAACGTGAAAGCCGAAAGGCACCTCCATATATTGCGGTCCTAACTCTAAACTATGAGAGTCTCCATCTTGGAGCACATGTGGCAAAAGATCAAATTGGGTACATGCACATGCCGCACATGCGCATTACAGGCAAATAGCCTGTAACATTTCTGGACAGCTGCCCACAGTACATTAAAATCCTGGACTTACTAGCCTATTCAGCGTGTGCGCGCCCTCCGTCAACATCAGAATTCTGAGACTGCGTCACTGTAAGTGACGCATGGCACAGAATGCTCATGGGGTCCCGCTGCCCACTCCCATCACGGCGTGTCACTTCTATCTTCCCTCACTGCAACATCTCTCCCTCTGCTTCTGACAGGCTGCTTACACCTCATTGCTGGTCTCTCACCTCGCCTTCTGCTTCTGTTCCCGGCTACCTGCCCGCTCCACAGGCAGGCTGTGTGTGACACTGAGCCAGGCGATTACACTATTTCATGGCTATTAGATGTTTGTAGTTTGGGGGCTCACATGCTGTGCAATGAAAAACAAAGCGAGATGGCAAGCATTGAGATATACGGCTCAGCTCTGCTCGCACTCCCATGCAGAATGTAGATATGAGGAGTCAGCAGAGGTGACCTGAGGGACCTTGAAGGATCCTCACAACTAGTTGTAGTTCAGTGTGAGCAAGCACAGAGGGTGGCTACTTTTCAGTGCCCATAGAGACCATTGAGAAGAAAAGAAGCCACCCTCTGGCAGGAAGTTATTAAACAGTAGAAAAATATATTTTTACAGCATTTAAAGGTAAATAATTAAAAATCTATAAATGAGGCGCACAGACAGGTAGTCAGCAAAAAGGGTGATATGAAGATCATGGCTGCTGCAGTTGTGATCTCAGTATAAGCACTTTAAGATTGCAAAACTGTCCCGTCACTGTATAATACGTGTTTTGTTTTTTCCTTAGGTTATGATCGGTATTATAATAAATACATTAACGTGAGGAAGGGGGGCATCGGAGGGATTGCCATGGTGCTTGTTGGCTACATAACCTTGAGTTACATCTGGGAATATGATCACATCAGTAAGTGGCGTTACAGCTAATTGATCAATATGTTATGTTTCTATTACTTGGTTTGATATAGTGGTGGCATGTTAAATTGCATTGGTTCCAAGGCTCACTGCGCTAGGAATGGATTCTAAATAGCTTATAGGACCAGCAGCAACTTTGTGTGAAGAAGGTATCTAATATGGTAAATAAGTTGCGCTTGATCGAAGTGAATGTGGATTCCAGAGTAAAGAATAAATCACAAAAAACACATGTACATCTATATAAATACCGGAATCTTCATTATTATGTGATCGATACATGAATCATCAAACAATCAATGTGAACCAATCTCTTAGTTTCAAGAGAGAGCCATAATCGGTGTATAATGCCTGAAATTCTTATTGCGGCATGTGGTACGTGAAACATGTATTCATACACCCCACAGTGTATCAATAAATATATGTGTGACAGAAGCGCCACGCTCACTTAGTGTAGCTCAGAGTCCTCTGTGACAAACAAACAAAACACAAAACAAATCTACCATATTATGTTAAATTGCATGTTTGTTTCCAAAAAGGGATTTAAGTCCAGCTTAAGGCTAGATTCACACCTGGGCGACTCCTGACCGCGCGGATTGCTGCGCGGTCATGGAGGCGTCCACTGCAGCCGATCGCGCTGCGGGTGCCATTTACTTCTAATGTCACCCCAGTCGCTCCGGGCAGATTGCGCGGTTTCCCGCTGCGATTCCACCCATGCAAGTGAAAAAGCTGTGTGTCTTGTCGCAAAAACAGGTACTTGTACTTTTTTTTAGCGATTGCTTCGCGGATGTCATCCCATTGAAATCAATGGGGCCGGGCGGCAACCGCTGTGTGCACCAGTACACAATCACGTGGCCCCAGGACGGGCGTCCCGGGTGTTACTGAGGTGTTAAACTAGGCTCAGTCTGCTGTTTCAGAGGCCATCTCTAGTATGTGAGAAGAGTAGTGAGGCAGCCTCAATTTCAAGGTGGATGTCATTCACTGCTTGTCCAGCCTGCTACATTGCACATTTTAAATATGATCCTTCAGTAAGTGGGTTTCTGTTGTATAGGTCACAGGACAACACCGTATATTCACATGCTTCCATGTTACAGTATAGGGTATGCTTTGCATATACACAGACTGCAGTGTGAAGCAAAGTTGTTTTGAATGAGGAGTCAGTGGTATAAAATGCTTATTTAAGGCGAAATGACCGGTTCTCTTACTTATACCACCCGTTCCTGCTGATGCACTTGTCTGCCTTGCTCCCCTTCCCCTCTGTTAGAGCCCTTGGAAATATGTGGTACTTCCAGGTATGGGGTATCATGTAACCCTTTCCCCTTCTCCGGATGCAGTGCTCAGGCCTTTATTAGGCCTGCATGGTGTCACAAGGTGAAAGGTCATTAACCTTTTATTTTATGCTCCAACACGGAGCTTACACAGCAAAGTATCAGTAGGTTGGCAAACGGGCTATCAAAAGTAGCCAAATAAACAGTGCAACAATAGAATGATTTGCTGCAAAAGTACCTAATACTTAGTGTCAGCTGCTGCTTTCTCACATATAAAAGCGCAGATGTTTTAAACCTATTCTCAAAAGAACCTGTCACTTCAGGAATTCCTCATACAAAATATTTGATGCAGGTATGTTTTTGAATTTCATTTAGTGACCTCATTTTCTTTGGTTTGCAGAGCATGACCGCTGGAGAAAGTACCACTGACCAAAAAAAGAACTGTGCATTTTTGTTGCTACTCTTCAACATCTGAAATAATAAATATTTCCACTTCCTGTCTGTGTATTTCTCATAAGTTACTAAATTACTATAGGATTGCTTTCATATTAAAGAGTATAGTGGACTATGAATACCAAAATCTTTGTAGGATCCAGAGAATGGTTTCTTCCGTCTCAAGTAGTACTGAAAATAATTGCTTGTGAAGTACACCTTTTAAGTATTATTAAAGTCAAATGCAGTAGAGAATAGCAATCTGCAATTGTCATTCATACGATGAATGGTGACATCTGGTTGGTAATGGGACTACTTTTTTTTAAATGAGCCCCAAAGTAAATCAAGGTAATTTGCCATGAGGTAGCTGCATCGGTAGCTTCGATATCATTATTTCAGCACCATGTTTTTTGTTTTTTTATGAAGAGTTAGAAGAAATCAGACCTTTTTTATACATAGTCATTTTAAAACAAAACTTATCTAAAATGTGCCAAGATAAAAGAGCGAGTGGAAAGTGCAGGGTATAGAAATGTGCAGACAAGATACAAATGCACACAATGGTAAAAACAGAAGCGGAGAATGTGGAGAAGTAGGATGTAAATACTGGGAGACTAAAGAGACTGTCTGCTGAACAACTGCTCAGGTGAAGAATTACAGTAGACCTGAACTCAGGAAGTGAAGCTTTATAATGTTTAAGAGAACATTTTAAAATGACCTGTGCCTAAGCAGTACCCTAAAAATGTACCTTTTTGTCTATTTGTCCTGACAATGAGCAGTACAATTACTGATCTGTTATCATGCCTAGGTGCACCCTGCTGCCTCTGACTCTTAAGGTGCCCGTACAATCTTCAATTTTCCTTCGAAAATCTTCCACCAATGGTATTTCGAACAATAATCGATTGGTTGATGGGAATTTTGTCTGGGGTTGAGGCTGGAAAACTTTTTATCGAATTGAATGAAAATTGATGGATAAGTGGCGTTCTCATTTGAGAAAAAAAAATCGCAGCAAGAACGCACGTGCAAATGAAAATCTGATCTGTTGATCGACACAATTTGGTGAGTTGGTTTGCTAAGGAACAATTATCAAAATCGACATTGGTCTGTGCATGATGGGCTATTTCAGCTAGAATCGAACGAGGGTTCTGAGTAGCAACGAATATTTCCGATGGAAACATCTATAGGTGTATGTCCAGCTTAACAGTATTTCACAAAAGGGGTGAAGAGTTTGGAGAAGACGGGAGAAGTGAACAATCTAGGACAACATAGCTGAACTGGAAACATTCTCTAACTTGGATCACTTTCCAGTTCAGCTATGTTGTCCTATATTGTTCATTTCTCCTGCCTTTTGTGAATAACCATGTAAAGGTGCCCATACACCTTACGACCATTTTTCGAACATGTTGGCTCGACAAAAGACGTGCGACCGTGCAGTAGAAACGGTCGCACGTCTTAGTTCACACTGCTCGATTCTCGTACGAGAATCGAGCAGTGTATGGGCACCTTTTAGTCTCTGGAAGTTTGGTGACATTACTACTCTGCTGCTCACTGTTCTCCTTGCTTAAAGCTCTGACGTGGTAAAGGCAGGGTTTTGCTTTCTCAAGCACCTTCAGGGCCCATCCAGACTGTTTCTGGACCCCAAATGCATCCCAATATATTCCTATGCTATTTCTGGCCTCTGTTCCCACCAGCGCAGTCTTGTCCAGACCAGAAAAATACAGCATATCTTATTTTGGCTGGTCTGGAACCCCATAGAAATGCATGTAATGCACCTGAACGCCCATTTTAAGTGGGGGGTGGGGTTAGACCCAGCTCAGAAGCGTGGTAAAAATGCGTTCCAGAACCTGGTGTGAGGCCAGCCTAAAACAGAAAGACAGCACAGAATAAGGCATGGTAAGTGGGTAATGAGGAAGGATCAGCTGCAAGGAGACAACAAGCCGAAATTAGAGACTACTCCTTTGCAATCTGCCTGTTTTTGGACACAGTTCACAGAATTCCTTTTCAAATACTCCGGGTTCCCAGACAGCTATTTCTCATGCTTTTAATGAATTACTGTTAGTGTCTTGTCCATTTCCCAAGGTGTCCCCCAAATGATTTTATCTAGAGGATGACTTTGGCCTTATTCACACTTCCGAAAGGGGCCAGATCGCATGAGTCTCAAGAATTCCTCTGTGAGATTTGTGATCAACTGCAGGTGGAAGGTGCTGTACAATACAATGACAACTGCCATCACCTGCAGTTGTTCACATGTAATCAATCACACAGCCTAATTGTCTGCAGATGCTCTCAGGCTGTGCTATTACATGTGCTCAGTGGCAGCTGTCACTATTGTATTGGATGTGTCTCATGGAGGAATTTGTGAGACCCGTGTGATCCAGCCTCATGATAGGGCCAAAGTCATCTTTAGCTAAAGCCATTTGCAGGAAACTTTGGGCAATGGACAAGACACTAACTGCGTTACAAGTGTGAATGGGGCCTTTAAGTCCTTTGCTGTCATGTCATAGCGTTGGACAAATATAGTAGTAGTTTACATTAAAGGGTCATTTGGGTCTTTTACTGAATGTGCAATTTATGCCCAAAAGGGATCAAGTCCGTTGCAAAGATCCCAACAATAATTAAAAAGACCGGTGCATACAGTAATAGTGTGTAACTATTGTACTTTCTTAAATATGTATTTGTATGTGAGAATGGCAGCATAACAGCTTTGGTCAGGAAGTAATGAGCCTGGCAAATGGACAAGGAAGCACATTGCTCATCCCCTCTCTTCACCTGAATGGCCCTCAGTGCTGCTCTTCTATATCAGGGATTACAGGAGACTGATGGACACATTTTAAAGTCAAATTTAGATTGTTGTTTTTTTAAATTAGAAAGCTGTCAGGGTGCTCTACAAGTTTAAACAGACTCCCGGCGGCAAAAGTCGCCGGGAGTCTGTTTAAAGAGCCCCGATGCTGGCGACGTACACTGTATGTCGTCAGTCACGAAGGGGCTAACACATCCACTTGCCGGTATTTACATAATCTGCTCACAAATCTGAACTATAAACACTTTGTCAGTATACCTTTCTTGTCAGAGACGGTTAGGTCAAATTGTCAATCATAGCCTTCATGTCAGACACTTCTGTGACACTCGCGAGTCAATGATCTTTGCATACAACAGTTATCAAAGAAAGTGGTTAGAGCTGAGGAACGTAGCTAATGACCTTTGACAAAATCGGGCCTATAACTGGTGCATGTATGGTGGCAAATCCATGTTCTGATCTGCTTGCCCAGCAGGTGTTTGTGCCATTTTGGGTTATCTTAAAGATGCTAGCACACATGCATGTAAAGGTGCCCATACACTGCACGATTATCGTACGATAATCGTATGCGATCGGGTTTTCGTACGATAATCGAGCAGTGTGAACGGAGACGTGCGACCGTTTCTACTGTACGGTCGCACGTCTTCTGTCGAACCAGCATGTTCGAAAACCAGCCGGGAATCGTACGATTCTCGGCTGGTTAGAACGGTGCTCGGAAGATAAATGCTGAACGGGCCGGTGTGCGCACGCGCACACTGCCCGTTCAGCATTGCGGTCATCGGAAGCCCGCCCCTCAGGAGGGCGGGCTTGCGATGATCGAGAGTGCGATCTGCCTGTCCAAGATAGGCAGATCGTACGTTTTTTTAATCCCTTTACAACCATCGCAAGACTAAAGTCTTGCGATGGTTGTAGAGTGTATGGCCACCTTTAGCATTGCCATTTTACTGAAAACCACAATTCACAACAGGTCATTCATATTCCTGAGTCAATGACAAACGTATCTGTGCCAATTTTTGGATGGTCCCAAGATGAACACTTCAGCACTTACTGTTCCAGTATCTGATCGGATGCAGGCACTGTCTGGCTGACAGTTTTCCATCTGGCCTCTTCGATTATTCAAAGTTTGTCAAGCTGAAAGGTGCCAACAGGCTCGATTTTCAGTTGAGTCAGCAGGAATTGTCCAAAATTCAAGCTGTGTGTAGCCAGCATTACACAATATAATCAAATATACAGAAAAAAATGAATCGAAAGAGATATATTCTGTGTCAAAGTGACTTTATCACCACAGGCTCACTTTTACTGAAAGCCAATCTTTTCAAAGATAAGGCTTACCTTTCCGGCAGACCATTTGTTAAAACACTGCACTTTTCTGCCTGCCGCAGCAGGTGTTTGACCAAATGGATGATTTAAATAACTGTTACCGGTGTGAAAATTATGTCTCGAGCTTGAGGTTGATAAGGCGCATGCACGGAGTTCAGCGGGCCGGATGTCCGTTCGGATGTCTGCTCCGTGAGCCTCGCTCCTAGGCGGATGGAGTCCCCGCTCCTATAGCTGACAAGCACCGGAGGCTGTAAGGAGGAGAAACGCGGAGACGATCTGTAGCGGGCTGACAAGGCAGGATGGCCGGGGGAACATCAAAGAAAAAAGACATGCAACCCCGAGCGGGATCCAAAACAGTGAATAGCAAAACACAGATGGCTACAGTCCCAAGCCCTCGTGGAGGGATCGATACAGCACAGAGAGAGAGAAAAATCGGCTTCTACGAAGAAGGCAGTGGTGAGTAAACAATCTAGAAGGGAGCACTCCCCTGCCTCAATGTCTCCATTAATTGAAAGGACACTAGAAGATATGCTTTTATTACAACAGGCCTCCCTTCCCTCTAGTCCTCTTAGTGGTGATAATGAGGTAAATTTTGGAGGAGGGATGCCCTTTATTGAATACATATTTTCTCTTTTTTCTTTTTCTTCCTTCTCTATACATTGTTTGTCTATATGTTGCTCTCCGGTTTGTAGTTATAGTAGCAAGAAAGGGCACAGTATATATATAGTAAATAACATATAATGTGGAGCGGGGATCTGACCATACTAGGCGGTTGTACGCCTGGATTTGACCGAATTCCCGGGATTCCCCGAGATGGCGGTTAAATCGAGTGTTGACATGGGGTCAATACCCTCGAATATGGGATGGGTGGGAGGGGGACCTGCCCATGAAATATGTTTTGTATATGTTTTGAGTAGGTGTTGTATGTATGTTTTTTGTGTGGATGGCTGC